TTAAAGTTCAAATTTAAAATTTTTAATTGAGAGTTTTAATCTCTTAATTAATTAAAATACTCTTTTAGAATATAGCTTTAAAAGTTATCATTAGTTGACATTAATGTAATATAAAATATAAATTATCTTGAAAAATTTTACTCCTAAATGAATATTTACATATTGAAAAATGATATATATTATATTATAAATATTATATTTAAATGGGCCTGTTAAAGCGAGTACCTAAATAAAAGTCCTCTGATTTTTCTTACTCTATTGTAAGCTTGCGGCCGAGAAAGGTTAAATGCTTGTGCCGTGCGCTGGTCCTGTGTAGAAATGGGTGTAACTGTAACAGAACTTAAAAACTTACGGAGGCCCAAATTAAAAGGAAATAAGTTGGGCTTAGAATGAGACTGACAGTAAAAGGTCCTAGCTAGTAAAACATAATAACATAATCTTTTGCAGGCTTGGCAGGAAAGAGGCCCATTCTGATTTCTGAGGTCAAACTGTGTGGGAGTCCAGGCGCAATGCACTTTTCCACAAATTGAAAATCCCCTTTATACATGGTGTCAGACTTTCCTCCATCAAACAACTTTTTTTGTCGGCCCGAAAGGAAATTTTGCTCATGGCATTTCACATTTTCGGTATATTCTCGGAAAGGGAAAATCACTAAAGTCATCGAATTAAAAACGCGACCCCCCAATTAATCTGTTAATCTCAGAGGAAATTGTTCAATTTTCTTTAAATAAAATTTTAATTTTAAGTTTTGTAAATAAAAAAATAGACGTTGAAAGAAAAATTTTCTTTTAATAAGATCTGATGTAATTCGATTCTAAATTAATAAAAATTTAATGTAATTATCGAATACAAATATTAATAAAAAAAAATAAAGAAAAGGGGAGAGCGACCAAACCCCGCCAGGTTCACGGCTTCACGTGTGTGCGGTGACATTTATGATTTATGGTACCGTCGCTCCAAAGTCCAGACTGCGATGTGCATAATGTGATTATTCTAATTATTCTAATTATTGAACGGAGCTTTTAGGTTTAATGATTTAACTATAAACTATAACTGTTTGGTTGAGATTATCAAAGTTTTAAATTTTACCATCGTCGTGAACTTCATCGACAGTTGTTTGATGGTCGCGTGCCTCATTTGAGAAGATGAAATGTTCACTCGATCGAAGGATTGAATCCCGAATTACTAACAACTAATTCAAATTAACTTCTTAATTATTACCTGGTAAAAAAATATATATATATATTCTAATTATTAAATTGACCATTTAAATTTAATGATTGATCCTAGTATTTAGATTGGAATAATTAAAAATTCAAATCCTATCAATTTTTTAAATATTTACATTTCGCCTATTGGTATGTGTTGAATCCATTTTTTTTCTTTTTCTTTAAATTGCCTTCGTTCAAAATTATTATAATAATTATTTTTTTAATGTTATTAAAGTTTATATTAAAAAATATTAATTTAATTATTACAAATAATTAATAATTAATATTTTTAAATATTATAATTATTTATTTAAAAAATTATAAATATCAATTAAAATAAAATACAATTTTGATGGATTTAATAAATAATTTGGTGATCATAATTACATTTCGGTGTTAAGCTCCTTAGTTCAGTATACAACTGTATAATTTATAGTAAAAATAAAATTTATTAATAAATAAATCTCAATTAATTATATAATTAAAAATTTTCTATCACTATCTAATAAAATTAATTTTTTTAATGGGAAAGGAGTACACCTTTAATTTTTTAATGCAAAAATACTACACCTTAATATTACTTTAAAAAGTAATAAAAAATTACTCTTAAAATTTATAAAAACTGCCTCTACCACTTAAACCCTTGAAAAAAAAAAAAAAAAAAAACTAAGAAGGATTAATATTTACAGTAAGAAATTCTTTTTTTTTTTAAAAAAAAAACAAATATTACTATTCTATTCCTCATTTTTTTTGTAACATTTACTCCCTTGGTCCCTCTGTCCATCTCTTATTTATCCATTCCTGAGTTCGCCGACAACCGCCAAATCCTACCGGTTCAAAGCTCTGCAATCGCCGGAATTGACTCTGTTATCCTCTCAGGTGCATATTCCTGTTTCTGTTTCATTTATAAGGTTCAGTAACGGATATGGAAACGATATGCATGCAGATTTCTTCGCATTTTTGCGAATCGATTCGCTGACCTGAACCGTTTTATTTCTCTACGTATTTTGTGTGTTCAGTTTTTCCTTTATCGGATTGATTCCTCTACGGAATGCGGTTGGTTCAGCTTAGTTATAATTCTGCCTTGAATATATCTGTGGTCGATAATTCCAAGCGCGGCTTTGTGCCGTAGATAGGGTTTGCTTTTCTGGTTTCGTAATTGACTTAAGTATGGCCTCCGACCTTACTGATTTTGATGTTTCCGTGTGTGTGATGTGTTGTGTGATGTGTTGCGTTGAGGTGTTTGGTTGCTGAGAAAGCGAGGGGAAGTAGGAATTATGTAGTTTCGGGAAGAAGGGATTCAAACTTTGAATTATAAGTCATTTTAGTGAATTGTAGCATTTAGGAAAAGGAATATGTACGCCGTGTTTGTTTGACAATGAAGCCTGTTTCTTCTTAGTTTGATTTCTATCTGAGTTATTTTCAAATCAGAATATTATTAGAAGAAGGGGCCATGTAACTGTTTGCTTGCATAGTGATGTTCATGTGTTTAGTAATGATATCTGATGAGACCTAGACTAGAGTAGCATTACTCAATAGAGGAAAAGGGGTAAAGCAAGCGTTTGACATGTTTAAACAAATCAGGCCTTTAATTCCGTAGTGGTAGTTTCATATTTTCAATTCATGTGTAGATTTGCACCATGGCATCTTATGCTGTTATTCAGATTTTATCTGACTGAGATTGGCTGTGGAAATTGGATCAGTTTGCCATATATCTATTTCTTGCTTTTTAGCTAATATGTTTGTTTCCATTCAATCTGCTCATAACATTAGGTGGAAATCTTTATGGAATTAAGCAGGTGGCTAACTTTTCTTATTGTTTCTTTTTGAACAGTTTAATGACACAGTTTAAGAAAGTTTCCTGAGAACTGTAGCCAATATCAATGTTCACAGAGTCAGAAAGTTTTCTGCACATGCTAGCATTGTGGACAACTTCCTGTGGGTTTCAGAATCTGTATCACTTGCTAACTGCGAAGCTATTACTAGATCTCCTATAGTTGATTTTTTTTTTTTTTTTAAGAATCTGAGGCACAGGTATACCAGTTACATTGCACAAATACTTTTCTCTCAGTGATTCAAATTCATTCCCAAATGT